AAAGAACAGTTTAAAATTAATGTAATATAGTATTGGCCATACTATATGATGTATTGCTTGTCTTTGTTTAATAATACAGAAGACAAAGACCTTAAAAAATAATCGCATATCGCATCGCAATCGCAATATTGGGGCAAAAAATCGCAATTAGATTATTTTCCATAATCGTTCAGCCCTAATACAGACATGGAAAAAATTGTTGGTACCCTTTGGTCAATGAAAGAAAATCTCACAATGGTCACAGAAATAACTTTAATCTGACAAAAGTAATAATAAATAAAAATTCTATAAATCTTAACCAATGAAAGTCAGATATTGCTTTTCAACTATGCTTCAACTGAATTATTTAAAAAATAAATGCATGAAACAGGCCAAGACAAAAATGATGGTACCCACAACTTAATATTTTGCAGCACAACCTTTTGACTCAATCACTGCAATCAAACGATTCCTGTAACTGTCAATGAGACTTCTGCACCTCTCAGCAGGTATTTTGGCCCACTTGAAGGGCGCCGTTTCCAGACTGCATGTTTCAGCTCCTTCCAAAGATGCTCAATAGGATTGAGGTCAGGGCTCATAGAAGTCCACTTCAAAATAGTCCAATGTTTCCTTCTTTGCCATTCTTGGGTGTTTGTGTGTTTTGGGTCATTGTCCTACTGTAAGACAAATGACCTGCGACTGAGACCAAGCCTTCTGACACTGGCCAGCACATTTCTCTCCAGAATCCCTTGATATTCTTGAGATTTCATTGTACCCTGCACAGATTCAAGATACCCTGTGCCAGATGCAGCAAACCAGCCCCAGAACATAACCGAGCCTCCCCCATGTTTCACAGTTGGGACAGTGTTCTTTTCTTGATATGCTTCATTTTTCTGTCAGTGAACATCAAGCTGATGTGCCTTGACAAAAAGTTCAATTTTTGTCTCATCTGTCCAGAGGACATTCTCCCAGAAGCTTTGTTGCTTGTCAACATGTAGTTTGATATATTCCAGTCTGGCTTTTTTATAATTTGTTTTCAACAATGGAGTCCTCTTTGGTTGTCTCCCATGTAGCCCAATTTGGCTCAAACAACGACAGGTGGTGTGACCTGACACTGATGTTCCTTGAGTATGAATTTTAGCTTGGATCTCTTTAGAAGCCTTTCTTGGCTCTTTTGTTACCATTGAGATTATCCATCTCTTTGATCTGTCATCAATTTTCCTCCTGCGGCCATGTCCAGGGAGGTTTGCTACGGTACAATGGATCTGCAATTTCTGAAAATTAGGTGCAAGTGTAGTCACAGGAACATCTAGCTGCTTGGAGGTTGTCTTATAGGCTTTACCTTTAACATGCCTGTCTATGATTTTCTTTCTAATCTCCTGAGACAACTCTTTCCTTTGCTTCCTCTGGTCCATGGTGAGTGGGATACACACCATGTCATCAATCAACACACTGAGTCCTATATATAGGCCCACTGACTGATTACAAGATTGGACACACCATGGATTAACATGTCCCTTTGGTCACATTATTTTCATTTTTTTCTAAGGGTACCATTATTTTTGTCCAGGCCTGTTTCATGCATTTATTTTTTAAAGTAATTCAGCTGACTTTCACTGGTTAAGATTTATAAAAAAAAAACTTTATTATTACTTTTGTCAGATTAAAGTTAATTTTTGACCATTGTGAGTTTTTCTTACATTGACCGAAGGGTACCAACAATTTTGTCCACGTCTGTATATAAGTATGTAAATGTATATAGATGCGTAAATGCATATGTGGATTTTCTTTCTTGGAAGTATGGTCTTAATTTGAAGTAAGGTTCTAAGAATGCAATGTGGCGTCATATGTACACTTTGTAGGTTTGGTCGTTCCATAACTGCATGTGACTGTTTTGGTTCTTTGTCATTGTAGGCGAAAGAATGGAAAGCATGTCGAAACCTCGGTCCATTGATGATTGCAACATAACCCAACCAGTTCCTGCAAGTAAAGATGAACCTGTTGTGATCCCTGTGGAGAAGACTTCTACCACTATGAAGCAGGCCAGAAGACGACAGCGCATTGACAGTGGGAACAGAAGCCTTACATGCGATCAGTGTGGAAAGGCTTTTACTCGTAATAGCAGTTTAAAAAAACATCAGCTCATGCACACTGGATTTAAACCATTCAGCTGTGATCGGTGTGGAAAGGCTTTCACTCACAATGCCAGCTTAAAAATACATCAGCTCGTCCACACTGGCATTAAACCATTCAGCTGTGATCAGTGTGGAAGGGGTTTCACTCAGAGTAGCGGCTTAAAAAAACACCAGCTCATCCACACTGGATTTAAACCATTCAGCTGTGATCTGTGTGGAATGTCTTTTTCTGACAATGGCAAATTAAAAAGACATCAACTCGTTCACACTGGCATTAAACCATTCAGTTGCGATCAGTGTGGACAGGCTTTCACTCATAATAGCAAGTTAAAAAAACATCAGCTCATCCACACTGGATTAAAAGCATTCAGCTGTGATCAGTGTGGAATGTCTTTTACTGTAAATGGCAATTTAAAACAACATCAGCTCGCTCACACTGGATTTAAACCATTCAGCTGTGATCAATGTGACAGGGCTTTCACTCAGAGTGGCAGTTTAAAAAAACATCAGCTCATCCACACTGGATTTAAACCATTCAGATGTGATCAATGTGGCAGGGCTTTCACTCAAAGTGGAAGCTTAAAAAGACATCAGCTCATCCACACTGGATTGAAAGCATTTAGTTGTGATCAGTGTGGAAAGACCTTCACTGAGAATGGCAACTTAAAACAACATCGGCTCGCTCACACTGGATTTAAACCATTCAGCTGTGATCAATGTGACAGGGCTTTCACTCAGAGTGGCAGCTTAAAAAAACATCAGCTCATCCACACTGGATTGAAACCATTCGTCTGTGACCAGTGTGGAAAATCTTTTACTCTGCATACAACCTTAAAAGAACATCAGGCCATCCACACTGGCATTAAACCATTTGTCTGTTGTCAGTGTGGAAAGGGTTTTGGTCGCATGGATACTTTAAGAAATCATCAACTAATCCACACTGGAGTTAATTCATTTTTAAGCAGTCAGTGCTAAAAGGCTGTTACTTCTATGTACACATTCAAAAAAAATCTGATCGTTCACACTGCAATTATAGTGTGTGTTGAATTATGGTAATTGTGAAATTTGTGGAAAGTCTTTCATTTATAACAAATATTATTGAGTCATCAGAAAATCCACACTATATGTCGTGCTATGACAAAACTGGCAGACCAATGTGACATTACTCTGACAAAGTTCTTTTGGACGTCCTGGTCAATCATCTTAACCTCCTAAGACCCGAACACTTCCACGGCATGCATTTTTAAATTTCTCTTTGATATTTGGGCATATTGGGGCCCAAGAACATCAAAAGAAAGAATTACCAGATTTTTTTTTCTTTTTTTACCTTATTTTTGTTTTTAAGAAAAATGAGAGCCACATATGAGGATATTCATTTACAATTTTGATAGAACAGTAGCAGTATAATGTCCTCGTAAGTGGATATCAGGCCCTTGTAAAGCAAAATTTAGTATTTTGGTCTAAATAACCCAAAATGTGATGTCCACATATGTGGATGCCAGGTCCTAGGAGGTTAAGTTTAAGATTGCAGACTCCTATAACTGTCATAGTACTGGGTCTTGACCCAGTGTTTTGTGCTTTGGGGCATTGGTGGTTTCTAGCTTCAGTTTTATTGAATATTGTAATATTTAGTGTTTATTTCTATTTCTGTTCTTGTATTTGTTCTTCTGCTTTATGTAATATTTGTAATTTCTAGTCTTTAGGTTCTGTTATCATACCTTCCCTCTGATAGGTTTGTAGCATAAACCTATTTGCTGGAACGTTCAAGACACAAGCAGGTAAAGTTCTTTATGATTCTTGTGCACGGGAGAGAACTGGACAAGCGCCATTCCTTCGCCCGACTCCAGTTGCTCTCGTCTGCTCCCTCGTAACACTGCTCTTTTATTGAGGTTACATGAATATGCATAGGCTCATTAACACATGACGTCTTACATAGGTATATATGTGAACAAAGAGTACTGTCTGTGTGTGTGTGAGTAGGTATGTGTGTGTGTGTGTGTGAATGTGACCCCATAAACGACTTCCCTAAACCTGCTGGTCTGGAAGTCCAGCAGTCCATCTAAACATAAGGCACTTATACTAAAACAGATATAGATGTGTTTATCCTACCATGAAACAATAAAAGAAGGTACGACCTCTCCCATGCTCCCAGGATGTGGGTGTGAATGCCAGAACACTCTGGAATGCACACAAAGCCTTTGTAGACTACTAAGGATCAGACCCCTATCAATATGACATCGGCTATAAACTCTTAAGCATATATGAGTAAATATTTCTAAGCATAAATGACAATCAACAATATAAACCTGACACCCTCTTTTTCACATTGTTTTATCAACCTTTTCTCCAAGTTTGTTTTACTTTCAAGTTTTAATTTTATTCGCCACATGCACAGTCATACAAACTACGATATGCAATGAAATGCTTGTGTCTGAACTGCGTTTGGTGTTGCTCTTCTGTCTTCCCAGTTTGCCCTTTTCCCAGCTTAGTTTCTTAGTTTTAGTTTCTGTGTTCAGCAGTTGGGACATACCTATTCTTGTTTCATCATTATTATGTTCCTAACGAAACCTCCAGTTCTTGGGTTGTGTATGTGTGTGGTTTTGTTTATTAGTATTTTTGTATGTTTTGGTGTTTGAGAGTATTTTTTGCTACAACAATAAATCTGCCTCTTTGCGTTTATTTCCCTGTCTGTGAGTCCTTTCTTCTGTCTGTCACTCAGTACCATCATGACAATACTAACTTGAGAGGACCGTATTCTGACCGTGGTTGTTAAGGCGTCTGGCAAGGGATCTCAAAATTGGATTAGAAATGGCAGACAGTTGGTGTCGTAAACCACCTCTTCTGTTCAAAGATAATTATTCACAGTGGACGTAGGTGGCTTCTTTCACTCCTCTTTCAAACCATCTGTCTTCTCTGTCCAAAATGTGAACATTGGCATCCTCGAAAGAGTGACCTTTGTCCTTTACATGCAGATGGACAGCCTAATCTTGTTCCATTGAGGTGGCTCTTCTATGTTGTGCCATGCATTTATGAAGTGGTTGTTTGGTCTATCCAATGTAGAGGTCTGGGAATTCCTCGCTACACTACTGCATACACTATTGTAAATATCAACACTTCGCTGAGTTCTTTTGGTTCCTCAGAGGTATCCAATGGAAGACAAAACACTGCTCAATAGGCCATTTAACGCTTTATTACTTCTATAAGGGATATGCGTCCTGCATGACACGTTGCCACAGATCTCAAAATGGTGGTGTGCCCCTAACACTTTTATTACAGAAGCTTTCTCATTCTACAAGGTGGGCCATTTATATGGATACACCGTGATAACATGGGAATGGTTGGTGATATTAAAGTCCTGTTTGTGGCACATTAGTATGTGTGAGGGGGCAAACTCCTCAAGATGGGTGGTGACCATGGTGGCCATTTAGAAGTC